TTTTTTTTAAAACCCTGTCAATGACAGTTCTGACAAATAGTTTTATTCCTTTTTTAGCACACACTTCTCACTTGAATTAAATGTGGTTTGCTGGAAATTGAAGGATTTTTGCGATTTTACAGTATGTATGAATGACTTAGTCATAGTCATAGAGTTGTACAGCATGGAAACAGACCCTTCAGTCCAAATCATCCATGTCGACCCATACCCATCCAGATGCCCTTTAAATGTTGTAACTGTACCAGCTTCTATCACTTCCTCTGGCAGCTCATTCCATACACGTTCCACTCTTTCTGCATGAAAAAGTTTCTCCTTTGGTCCCTTTTAAATCTTTCTCTTCTCAACTTACACCAATGCCCTCTAGTTTTGGACTTCCCCACCCTGGGGAAAAGACCTTGGTTATTCACCCTACCCATGCCCCTCATGATTTTATAAACCTGTATAAGGTCACCCCTCAGCCTCTGACACTCCAGGGGAAAATAGCCCCAGCCTATTCAGCCTCTCCCTGTTGCTCAAAACCTCCAACCCTGGCAACATCCTTGTAAATCTTTTCTGATCCCTTTCAAGTTTCACAACATCCTCCCTGTAGCAGGAAGACCATTGCACACCATATTCTAAAAGTGGCCTAACCAATGATCACCCAACTCCTATACTCGATGCACTGACTAATAAAGGCAAGCATACCAAATGCTGCCTTCTCTATCCTATTTACCTACAACTCCACTTTCAAGAAACTATGAACCTGCACTCAGGTCTCTTTTTTGTTCAGCAATACTCCCCAGGACCTTACCTTTAAGTGTATAAGCCCTGCCCTGATTTGCCTTTCCAAAATGCAGCACCTCACATTTATCTAAATTAAACTCCATCTGCTACTCCTCAGCCCATTGGCTCATCTGATCAAGATCCTGTTGTACTCCGAGGTAACCTTCTTCGCTGTCCACTACACCACCAATTTTGGTATCATCTGCAATCTTACTGACCATACCTCCTACATCCACATAAATGATCAAAAGCAGTGGACCCGGCACTGATCCTTGTGGTACACTGCTGGTCTCAGGCCTACAGTCTGAAAAACAACCCTCCACCACCACCCTCTGTCTTCTATCTTCAAGCTAGTTCTGTATTTAAATGACTAGATCTTGGATGAGGAAAGTGAAATGTACTATTACCAAGTTTGTGGATGACGATAAGTATAGCTGGGAGTGGAAGTGGTGAACGTGACAGAGTCTGCAGAAAGGGGATATAGTGAATGGGTTATATGAGTGGGCAAAAACCTGGCAAATGGAATATGATGTGGGAAAATGTGAGGTTGTAACTTTGGCAGAAAGAATAAAGGAGCTGAATATTGTTTTAAATGGAGGAAGACTGCAGAAAGCTGCAGCACAGACAGATTTGAGAGTCCTTGTGCATACGTCTGAAAAAAAAAGAGTTTAAGTTCAATGGGTAATCAGGAAGGCTAATGGAATGTTGGCCTTTACTTCAAAGGGGAATGGAGTGTAAAAATAGGGACATCTTGCCAAAACTATACAATGTGTTAGTCAGACCTCAGTTGGAATGTTGGGAATAGTTTTGGGCTCCTTGCCTAAGGTAAGGTATACTGCTTGGAGACAGTCCAGGGAAGATTGATTAGGTTGATCCTTCGCTTTCTAGTTGGTTCAGGTAGTGATACTGAGGAAACACTGATCCATGAATGATTGCCAGGGGAACAGGGCAGGGTATTTGGAGCAGCAGGCCACGTGATGAAATCTCCAGGAATGTATCCAATCAGAGTGGTGGTGGGGGGAATGGGGGAAGATGGGAGAAACTCCGGTTAATCTGGTGATTCTAATAAAGGCCCTTTTGAGATTTTGAAATTTTTCACCAATTTGAATGATTTCTAATGTGAATTTTGAATCTGGGGGTTTGGATGGTGTTATCAAGAACTCTGGAATTGACTGCCCAGGGTTCCTGTGCTTTTAAGAATTCACATACCTCCCTTTCCCATTGCAACACTGGACACCAGAGTCAGTAAGAGCTTCCACCTTCATTAATGTAGCGCCTTTCGCATGGAGAGGCAGCCCAATGCAGCTGTCGGAATACAAGCAAACAAGATTTTGACATCAAATTTAAAAAAAAACAAGCAACTGCAGATACTGTAAATCAGAAACAAAACCAGAAATTGCTGGAAAAACTCAGCAGGTCTGGCAGCATCTGTGGAGAGAAAGCAGAGTTAATGTTCTGGGCCCAATGACCCTCCTTCAGAATGGATTTGACACCAAGAAGCCCCATGAGGGACAGATGACCAACGTGTTGTCAAAGAGGTCATTTTCAGCAGTGTTTTGCAGAAATAGAAATGGAGAGGCAGAGAGTTTTAGTGAGGGAATTTCAGACTGAAGACCTCAACACCGGCTTTTCTTTGGGATTAGTTGTGGCTATAGAGTATAAAGCTGGTAGAGGGGAATGTGATATAGTTAATGCAGTGGGAGGAACATGTACAGCCAGAACTGACTGGGAATAAACAAGGGTTTGCCCATGTCACTGTCCAGTGCAGCCAACCCTAGGTCAGAGTGTCAGAAGTGAAGCAGGAATGGGGGAGTCCCAGGCCTTGCGATTTGGATTTCAGACGGAAAGATGATTAGGTTCAGTTTGGACACCCACTTGTGACTGACTGCCTGCACCCCCAGGGTCACCTCTGTAGCAACAGTGTGTGTGTGCGTGCATGAGATTCAGAAGTGGGTGTGTGGTGGGGGGTGCGTGGGGGTTTGCTGTCTTTGAGTTTGTCACCAGTAGTGGGTGGCTATGGAAGAGGAAAGGGAAGGAGACCCCTGGGGAGATGGTGATTCTTGACTTGCCTGGTGCTTGTCACTTTTGCTCCACTCCCTCCTGTCTGTGCAGCCCCTTTCTGGAAAAGTCTGATGTTCAGCACTGAGCAGGGAAACCCCTGTAACCTGCACAGAGTGAAGTGGCTCTTGGTAACATCCACTCAACAGTGTTAAGGCAGGAACTTGCCCACAGATCCCAGTTAGTTTGAACACGACGTTGTTGGAAAGTACTGGGTCATATGAAGTAACAGCACCCCCAGTTGAACAGCCATCAGCAAGATGAGTGTCTGCTTAAAATGGCCTCAATTGCTTTGATTTCCACAAACAGTCTTGCAGTTACATAAAAACTGAATGAAAGAACTGCAGATGCTGGAAATCAGAAGCACAAGCGGAAATTGTTGGAAAGGCTCAGCAGGAGTAGCATCACCTTCTGTTGAGAAATCGGAGGTCACATTTCACGTTCAGTCACAGAAACGTTAACTCTGATTTCTCTCCATAGATGGTGCCAGACCTGCTGAGCCTTTCCAGCAATTTCTGTTTTCGATTCTTGCATTTGTATAATGCCTTCACAGTCTTCACAACCAGCGAAGGATTTATCAAGTGTTGTAACAGCAAGGTCCAACAATGAAAATATTGTCCAGATGATTTCTGTTTCTCTATTGATGGTGATAGAGAATCGATATTGGTTCAGGATGTTATCTCATGGATAGTGCCATGGGGATATTCTTCACTCAGTGCATGTTGGAGGGCAGACAGGATTTTGGTTTAAAACCTCACCTTAAAGATACCAGCTGTGGCAGTGCAGCACTCTCTCTCGGTACTGCATTGGATTGCCAGGCTGGATTACATTTTCTTGCCTTGGGAATTCGGTTTACACCCACTACCTTTTAGTTCAGATGGACACGGTTCCTCCCCTTCCTGCATTCCCTACACAATGACCCATAGAAGCCAGAGGAGGCCATTTGGCCCCTCCGGCCTTCTCTGCCATTCCATCGGATCATGGTTCATTTGGTTGTAGCCTTAACTCTGCTTTCCTGTCTGTCCCTATAATCCTTAATACCCTTGTCACTCAAAACTCTGTCTCACTCAGCCTTGAATATATCCAATGACCCAGTCTCTGCTGTTCTGTATGACAGAGATAACTTAAAGCTAATGACCTTCTGAAAGACAAAATTCTTCTTCATCTCAGTCTTAAATTGGAGACCTCCGTTTTGAAACAGTGATCCCCCATGAGCGGTGGTATCTTCTCTGTATTCCACCCAGCCAAACACTCTTTTTCTGAAGAAGGGTCCCGACCCAAAATGTCGCTTTCCTGCTCCTCTGATGCTGCCTGGCCTGCTGTGTTCCTCTGGCTCCACTCTGTTGTCTCTGACTCCAGCATCTTTGACTTTGACTTTCTTTTACCTCTGTTTTTTAATTGCCTTTCATTCTTGAACCTTAATGTTTTTGGGCCCAGTCTTTTTGTTGTGAGATAACTCCAAGAGGGAATCGGCTTAGTGAACCTGTAATGCAAATGTGTCCCTCCCAAGTATGGTAACAAAAACCATTCGCAGTGCAACACTGCATACAGTTGCAGTAGAGCTGGATTTTTAAAAAGCAGTTTGAGCATTATGTTCAAATTCTGCAAGTTTAATTGAATCTGTCGATACCTTGGACACCGGACCTGGGAAGTGTGTATATCAAACATGAACACAGAGCTCCTCCTGGTGGATTATTGCGCTGCAGTGACACACAGCCGGAGCTTGGTAAATTCAGCACTCACTTTGTAACTGAATCAACGATCTCCCTGGACTGCTCAGTGTATTCACCAGCCCTTAGGCCTGTCCTGAAGATACAACGATTGGCTTCTGTTGTGAGGGACGTGGGGCAGGACGACTTTGATTTCCTGTTGGTGACTGAACAAAGCACAAACTTTTTAATAAGGGGCCGTGGGTCTTGATGTTTCTACAGGTGAATAGCTTGTTGGTGTGTGCTAATGATGATGAAGATTATGTTGGGGTGAAGTATTTGATTTGTCTTCAATGTGTGTGTAACCATCTCTATCTTCGCCCCTGTGGGGGAGGTATGGGTAAGTTAAGCACAGTGTCCTATCTGAGTCTCTGTGTTTGACTTTGTTTTCTTTCTTTTGTCTCTTTCCAGAACAGCAGAAGCGTTTGAACAGCCAGTCAGGTAAGAGAAGGCACTCAGCGAATGTCACGTTTCCTTCTGAAATGTTATGTTCTGCCATCAACCTGTGACCTGGCTCGGGGCTGAAATAATAGACTAAAATATAACAGCAGCATTAGGGCTGCCTTGTGGGTTAGGGACGTATGGGGGACACTGTTAGTGTCCCCTTCACACTCTGTCCCTTTTGAAGTGTCAAGTGTTTGGCATAACATTTCACGTGGGATTGAGTTGCACATGCCATGAGACGGGGAACCGCTTGGCAGCTCGAACATGACCCAATTAATTGAATCGGGGAGATTGTGATATATTGCTAATGTCACTGAACCAGTAATCCAGAATCTTGGGCAGATGTTTCGAGGCCGTGGATTCAAATCTAACTCTGACAGATCAAATTTAATTCAATAAACAATTCTGGAACAATGACTACCATGTATTTACCACTACTGTAAAATCCCATCCAGTTCACTTTTATGTCCTTTTTAGGGAAGGAAATCTGTCCTCTTTTACCTGGTCTGGCCTGCACGTGACTTCAGATCCATGGGAAGATGTGATTGGCTATTAACTGCCCTCTGAGCAGCTAGGAATGGGCAACCAATACTGGCCTAGCCGGTGCTATCCAAATCCCATTAATGGATTTTTAAATAAAACAAAATCTTGCCACATTTTCTTTTTGATCTGATGATTTTTCAGGGGGCCTGACATTAACTTACATACCTGGATGGGTTTTAAAAGGATTCATTGCATTGCTCTCGTGAATGTGGAAATCGTTCGAAGTTTGAATTTGAGGCTGAGATATTTAAACTATATTTTTGTTTCCTTACTGTGTCTGTCATTTTTAATATGGATCCCAAAGACTTGATGAAGGTGTAGAGAGGTTTATCCGAGCAATGGGGTCTTCAGTTACAGGTAGAGACTGGAGAAGCTGATATTGTTCTCCTTTAGAGCAGGGAAGGGTGGGGAATGAATTTTGATGGAGGAGTGGGGAAGAAGCTGTTGGCAAGAGAGGGTCAATAATTGGAGGTCATGGATTTGAAGTGATCACCCAAAATCGAGGGTTGGATGAGATTACCTTCTCGGAGCAGGCTCTGATCAACAGGGCTTGGACAGACAGCTGAAAAATTCAATCATAGCCTTCCAACATGGTGATTGGAAAGGAGGCGTTTTCAGGGTAAAGCTGGGGTGGTGCGGGCTGAGAGACAAATTAGATACACCTTCCCAAGAGCCAACACAAACAGTGGGCCGGTAGCCTCCTTTTTTGATTTAGGATTTAATAGAACTGGAATATTGACTTTAACCACAAGATGTTGCTTCTACCTAATATTTATCTGCTCAGCCTGAGAATCCACCCTACATGGAATAACTTTGGCCACAGTGCCTCAAAAAATAATGTTTCCACTTACCCTCTCTCTGTTCCTTCTCCCCCCGCCCCCCCCCCTCACTTGCCCTCACTGGGTAAGTGACTGTGGATGGGGGGAAGGGAGGGCAAGTTTACTGTTTGAAAGCTATTGTTGAAAATTGGTAGTCAGCAGACAACACAGCTGTGTTTAGTGTGTGTTCAACAATAACCAGAGTTTAGTTCCTTTTGGTGGGGGGGGGGGAGCAGAAAAGGAACTCTCTTGTTTGTCACTTCTTAACTTGTCCTAGTCATTTGGGGATACAGGCAGTCAGCAAGTCCAGGTCACCAGTCCTTGCAGTCAAACTGTGGTTAACCCCAGAGGTTACACAAAGATTCCACTTGCTTCCTTAATAGGAATTGTGTGGCCAGAGTGGTTTCACCATTGCTACAAACTTGGTGTATTTCTGTCACTGCACATATTTGTGCTGTTTACTTTCTTTGTAGATTCTGTGCCAGAAACAGTAACTGATCAGAAAACCCAAGCCCCAGCTTCGGATGCAGTCGCTCCTCCTGTGCACACAGCAACGGCAATGGATAGTAAACGGCAGAAAGTCACACGGATGCCTCAGTCCTCCTTCATCGCACCTGAAGACCTGGGTATTAAGGTGAGAGAGGCGCAGACTGTTAGTTTGGTGTTGCCTACAGTAGTGTGTAGTGCAGCTGGGCTGTGGTTTCTCACTATCTCTGATAGAACGGGGCATGCTGTCCATACTGTTCTCTTTTTAATATTTCTCACTCCAATTTATTGTGTCTTCGCAGAATGTCGAGAGGCCCAAAGATTGGTACAAGACCATGTTCAAACAGATCCACAAAGTCAGCAAAGGTAACGTGGTCCCCAGGACAGCTGAAGTCATCACTGGGTTCCCGGTGTCTTGGAATTGAGCTGTGTGCCTCCCTATAGTCTGCAAGCCATTGAACAACTTGTGTAGTAAATACCAAAAAGGCAAACTTGTGAATGATGAATACTGGTCCAACTTGTTTCATATACCTAAGAACAGTGCTCCAGTAGGACCAGTACACTTACTACCAAGTATTACTGTTTCTTTACTGGCCTCCTCAGTACAGTATCTACAAGGGGAGTTGTGACTCTGTGTGCCTCCACCTTCCTTTGGTCCAGGCACAGCCTGGCACTCTGTTCTTCACAAGAAAAGAAAAGGCTGAGGAGCTCTTGGAAATGATGAATGTCCTTGATAGGGTTGGCTGGGAGCAGATGTTTCTCTTCCTGCAGGGCGATCGAGAACTCGGAGTGCTGGTAAATATAAGATGCCAGTAACAAGTCCAATCAGGAATTTGAGAGAAACATCTTCAGCCAGCATGTGGATAGAATGTGACACTTATCGAAGACAAGGAGTGACTGAGATAGATATGGCATAGATAGATGGATAGTCTGAAGGGGGAAAGTTTTATGTAAATAAACAAGGGGAAAATAATTGAAAGGAAAATCAAATAGAAGACACTCACTCCACCCACCCCTACCCAGACACACCCACACTCGCACATACCCACACCCACACCCACACCCACACCCACACATTCACTCGCTTGCTCACTCTCACATTCCTGCACCCACATTCTTCCACACAAACACACACGTGCTCGCTCACTTGCTCGTTCACTCCCTCACACCTGCATCCAGTTACACACACACATATATGTGCCCATACCTACATTCAGTCATATTCACACACCCAGGATTCAGACCCCACCGCTACCCCTTCAGAATACTCTTGCCCTCTCATGCGCACCAAAATGTGTGATGCATTATTTAATGCAAGTTGGTATAGGCTGACCTGGAAGCCTATTTTGAATAAACCAATGGTGTTAATTTGATTGTTTTATTTGTTTGGTAATGCTCTGTCCACATTTTCATTCTCCTCTTTTTCAAAACGGTTTATTTCTCTGTGCTTTCCAAGTGATCTATTTCTTGCAGCTTGTCTTCTCACTTTTGAATCTTTACTATATTTTCCCATATTTTGTTTTGTCTCTTGCTTCCTTACCTTTTCACTCAGACACTCCTGAAGAAAATCCGTATCACCCTACCTACAGCTTTCCTGAGCTTCCTGAATGCCAGCAGAAGAGAGAAGGTATCTGTGTGTTTGTGTGTGTGTGAGGTGTGAGATCCCTTTATCTCCCTATTTATGCTTGTATGTCTTTGTCTTTGTCTGCATGTGGTGTGTGTGTGTGTGTGTGTTTCTCTATCTCCCTGTCTCTGCTTGTGTGTCTGTTTCTTTGCTATCTCCGTGTCTGTGTCTTTGTGTGTGTGTGCGCGCGAGAGAGAGATGCTGTCAAGTGTTTAAACCCACAGTTATTCCAAGTAGTTTTTCAATGTCATGTTTAACCTATTGCTAGCTTGCTGTCAGCTCTTTGATTCCGATGCATATCTTCTGTAATGCCCTAGCAGATTATATTGCAGGGATGTAAACTGAGCATTTCTTTCTCTTGGTGTCACTTATTCTGTAATGCACTTCCTCAGTGTGTATTTGAGGCAGAGACTATATTAACGTTCAGAAATAGGTTTGTAATAAATGGAAAAAAAGATATGGGAACTGAGTGTGTTCATGGGATTAGGATGGCTATTGATGAAAATGATAAACATGGCCTTGATGGGCAGAATAGCCTTTCTTTGTGCTAACCTTTTTATCTATTTTTATATTTACGGCTCTGTCCCCCACCCTGGCCAAAGGGGAAAAAAGTCGACACGTCAAATCTGGGAGCTATATTGGAGTTTGGGGATGAAAGCTGCTGTAGTGCAGTATGGAGAGATGTGTACCAGGAATAGATTCAGGCCCCACAATCCATCCTGACTACAGCTGGGACCTTTGGATGTGGGCATCACAACATTTGCTGCCCATCCCTAACTGCCCTTGATCTGACTAGGTTGCTAGGCCATTGCAGAGGGTAACTAACATTCCCACACTGCTGTGGGTCTGGCGTAATGTGTAGGCTAGACTGGGCAGGGATGACAGATTTCCTTCCCTAAAGGACATTCGAGAGCAATTCTGTTGCTTTGTAGTCACAATTCCCAAGACTAGTGTGTTTTCCCTTCAAATTTTCCTTGCTTGAATTTAAATTCCCCAGCTGCCAACGTGGGATTTGAACTCGGAGTATTCAACCGAATCTTTGGATTACCGGTTCAGTAACATCACTCTTGTTGCTACAGTGTTGATCGAAGCCAGAGTGAGGAGGAACAGGCACCTCTGGGCTTGGGGGGGAAAAAAAAAATCCAATGGTCAGGGGCTCCTTCCAGATGCTAGTGACCACTTCTGGGTGCTAGTCCCAGCTGTGATGCCTCCTGCAGTCAAACAACCTGCTTCCTATCCCGAGCTTGGCTGGGCCACCTGTGGGTTGCCTGGGTGCTTGCTAAAGCCTTTTGCTTCCTGCCTTCCCACGCATGCGCACAAAAAATCTCTCCCATTCACTCGCACGTACACATGGACACAGGTCCTCTCTCTGCGTGTGTCTCTCTCACTCTGTCTGTGTCTGTCTCTCTCACTCTGTCTCTCTCTCTGTCTCTCTCTCTCTCTCTCTCTCTCTCTCTCTCTCTGTGTGTGTCTATGTCTTTTTGTTTCACACATACACATGCATATTTTCCTCTTTCCCTCATCTCTCTCCTGTTTTCCCCACCCCACCGTCAGCTGCTCTCCCCCTTGTACTCGCAGACATCATCTGACACCTAACCCTTTTCTCCTTTATAAAACCTAGCCTCATCAGGAGTGTATGTTGTCACGCAAAGTGTGTGGTCACTTTGTGTGCAGTGCTGGGACTGTACCCAGGATAAATCCATGGCTTCAGGAGAGAGGTGACCAGAAATCTGTTTGCATATGTGCTCGGTGTTGGAACAGCGTTCACGTTTCATCAATGCAATTAGTTTCAGCTTTACTGTTTCCTCTTCTCAGATGATCATTCCTGATTTTTACTTTGCTGCTGCATGTTCTCATCGTTCTGTCTCAGTTCCATTTCTTTCCATTTCTTCCCTAGAAACGGTCACTTACACCCCAACCTATGTCTTCTCCGAGATTGCTCAGAGAGAGTTTCTCAAAGGTACCTTTCTGTCGTCTTGGCTGCCGTGTGTACCACCAGAGACTCCAGTCTGTAAATTCCTTTTGCTCTGTGACTGGTGCCTTCTGCCAGGCATTCATTTCTGACTGGGGAAGCATTTGATGAGGGGCATAAGTCACATGGAAAACTTTAAGGTGCCGAGCTTGTTTTCTGAAGGGTAGTAGAGGTTCAAGGGTGATTTATTAGCGGCACGGTGGCTCAGTGGTTAGCACTGTTGCCTCACAGTGCCAGGGACCCGGGTTCAATTCCGCCCTCTGGCAACTGTCTGTGGGGAGTTTGCACATTCTCCCTGTGTCTGCGAGGGTTTGCTCCGTTTTCCTCCCACAGTCCAAAGATGTGCCATGCTGAATTGCCCATAGTGTCAAGGGTGGGAAATGTGTAGATAGAGTAAAAGGTGGGTCTGGGTGGGATGCTCTTCAGAGGATTAGTGTGGACTCGATGGGCCAAATGGCCTGCTTCCACACTGTGGGGATTCTATGAAGGTTCAGAGTTTTGTGGTGTTTTGATGAAATAGATAGCAGGGACCCGGCAGGATGCTCAGTAACCAAGAAGATGTGAGTATAATGTATTCTGTAAAAGAACCACATGAAAATTGAACAGAGTTCTAATTTAGATTAGAAAATGGCCAAAAGGTTAGTGAAATAACTTAAGGAGCAACCTCCAAAAGGGAACCATATACTTGATTGAAAAGGAAAATTTTGCAAAGCGTAAAAGCAGGTAGTGACTCGCTCTTTTGAAAGGGCTGGCACGGGCACATTGGGCTGAATGGCTTCCTTCAATACTGGATGATTCTGCGAATAACACAGACTTTGTTCAATACTGGCCTGGCATCTTCAAGGCCCAAGTCTGATTATTGGGTCCTGAGGAAAAAGTGAGGGGTGGAACTGTGTCAAACTGTGGCTTCCGCGTTGATTTTATTTGGAAATTCATGGGGAGACACAAGAATTCATTTATACTTTGATCAGGTCAAAAGGCACAAATTTAAGTGGAAAAGTAAAATGGCTTGAGGATCAATTTTTCCAAAGATGTGAAATTCGGATCGGGAAGGTCTGGTTCTAGGAGAGTAAGTTTTAGACGTTTCTGGGAACTCCCCCCACACAGCAGCTGACTGTTTAATCCAAAATCGATGAACTGTAAACTTATAACTTCGTGTAAAGTTAGTTTGCAAACATTTCACGGAATTCCCAGTGTTTGAGTTGGTTGGGACAGCCAATGAAGCGAATTTGAGGGCGAGCCTGTGCTGACTGAGCAGTTGGTCAGGAATGTGTGTGAATTACTAAATGTTAACATCAACATATTGTGTGCTTTTCCAGCAGATGATGACTCGGAATACTATTCTCCGCGGTACTATTATTCTGAAGACAGTGAGTATTAGCTTTCTGTCTAAAACTTTACTAAACATAGACCCTTGAGCTTGTTTCACCATTCAATAAGTTCATGGCTGTTCTTACTCATCCTTTTTATCTATTTATTTTTTAAAATCATTCATGGGATATGGGCATCACTGCCTAGGCCAGCATTTATGGTCTATCTGGTGGCTCAGTGGTTAGCACTGCTGCCTCACAGCACCAGGAACCCGGGTTCGATTCCACCCTCGGGCGACTGTCTGTGTGGAGTTTGCACATTCTCCCTGTGTCTGCGTGAGTTTCCTCTGGGTGCTCCGGTTTCCTCCCACAGTCCAAAGATGTGCAGGCTAGGTGAATTGGCCATGCTAAATTACCTGTAGTGTTCAGGCCAGGTGGATTAGATATGGGAAATGCTGGTCTACAGGGATAGAGTAAGGGGGCTGGGTTTGGGTGAGATGCCCTTTGGAGGGTCGGTGCAGACTCAATGGGCCAAATGGCCTTTTGATTCTGTCGGGGTTCTGAGATTCTAAATGTCCAGAAGGCACTGAAAGATAAATTGCATGGCTTTAGGTCTGGAGTCACATGTCAGCCAGCTAAGGTATGGGCAGCACTTCCCTTCCCTTCCCTGAAGGACATGAGTGAACCAGATGGGTTTTTACAATGATAACATGGTCACCATTAGCTCAGATCTTATTGAATTCAAATTTCACCATCTGCCATAGTAGGATTTGAGCCCTTATCCCTAAAACATGGGCTAAAGGTTCTGGACTAGATCAGTGACATTACCACCACTCCTCTGGTATTGCACATTATTGTGATCATTCTAACTTCACTATCCATTGGGAAACTGGCCTTATGACCAGCCAAGTTATAGAAGTATCTTTCCACTTGATTCGGTGAGTTTCACTCAATTACATAGAATAGAATCCCTACAGTGTGGAAACAGGCCCTTCAGCCCAACAAGTCCACACCGAACCTCCAGAGCATCCCACCCAGACCCATTCCCCTAATCTACACATCCCTATGGGCAATTTAGCATGGCCAATCCACCTAACCTGCATACCTTTGGACTGTGGGAGGAAACCGGAGCAAACCCATGCAGACACGGGGAGAATGTGCAAACTCCACACAGACAGTCACCCGAGGGTGGAATCGAACCTGAGTCCCTGGTGCTGTGAGGCAGCATTGCTAACCACTGGGCCACCGTGTCGCCCTGTTTACATTGAACCCTTGGCTGTGCTCATTTGCTATTTGATCCAAATGCATCTAGCAGTATAACTCCCTCAATGGGTTCCACTTCCGATGTGAATGCTTAAATTGAAACAAGCATGACCTTGAGGTTGTAGACTTGCTCGCTGAGCCAGTGTGTTTGATTGCAGACATTTTGTCACCCTGCTAGGTAACATCATTAGTGCGTCTCCGGTGAAGCGTTGGAGTTCTGTCTGCTTGTTATTTATATGTTGTTTATTTATTGTTATAGACCAACGCTCCACCGGAGGCACACTGACAATGTTACCTCGCAAGTCTACAACCTCATTCACAACCCGAGCTACAAATCTTCTCAAAAACTTTAAGCATGACCTTCTAGAGGTTTATAAAATCATGAGGGGCATAGATAAGGTGAATAGCAAAGGTCTTTTCCCTAAGGTGGGAGAGTTCAAAGCTAGGGTGAATATTTTTAAGGTGAGAGGAGAAAGATTTATAAAAAATATGAGAGGCAACTTCTTCACACAGAGTGATTTGTGTGTGGAATGAACTTCCAGAGGAAGTGGCCGATGCAGGTACAGTTACAGCATTTAAAAGATGTTTGGAGAAGTACATGAATAGCAAAGGTTTGGAGGGATATGGGCCAAACGCAGGCAGGTGGTACTAGTTTAATTTGGGAACATGGTTGGTATTGACTAGTTGAACCCAAGGGTCTGTTTCCATAGTGTATGACTCTTTGTGCACCTTTGTGTATAGACTCGATCTCAGCCATGGTGGCAGTGAAACTATCTTCAAGTATTGTAAAAACTGCTCTGGCTCACTAATTCTCCGTCAGGGAAAGAAATTTGCCGTCCTTACTTTGTCCTGGGCTTTGATGTGGGTCTGGAGTCACACAATGTGGTTGATTCTTGAACAAACACTAAGATGATCAAGCAAAATGTGCAGTTCGAAAGCAATTAGGAATTGACAACACAGGCTGGCCTTAGCAATGATGTCACAACCCATGAAATTAGTTTCCTAAATTTAGGCTAAATAAGAATCATCCTCTGTCCAGTAGATTAATGCTACACGAGTGAGAGAGATACATCTTGTTAGTGCTTTCTTGTCCAGTTCCCACGGAAATGAATTCCCCATGGCTGAAGCTATGTCACATGATAAATTGGGCAGCGATTTAGAAATATTGAGTTGCAGAGCAGCAAGGACATTTTAACATTTACAATTTCTTTTGCCAAACATCATTCTATATGAAAACTGTTAAGTAGAAAGGATTCTTTGGTATATGTTTGAATCTAATTTTGAGTTCCCCAAATAATGGGATCTTTCTTCGGAGTGACAGATGTGTCATGAAGTCAGCCCACTGCCCGAGAAATGTTTCAGAGGCAGCTGCGGAGCTGCCATGTACTGAGGCAGGCTGATTTGAAATGCCCTCCTACTGCACTCACTCATTGTGCCTCTTGCCCTCTGTACCAACGTGTTCTCCCAGTCCTCCCCAAGGCTTGTCATAGCCACTCTATTACTTTAGTGCCAACCCATCTTCCAACAGTCTACACTTGTACCCGCCATTGTCCACCCTCCATGCCAACTCACCCAATGTCCACAATAGGCAGATTTCAAGAACCATGCTAAGGTGAAACAAAATAAAGTTCTAAGTGTCTATTACAGACTTCACTGTATTTTAAAAGTAAGCCCAATTGATTAGTCCATTCAATACATTTAAATCCCCTCAAGTAATTAGTTCTGCATTAAGACAACTGTGATAACGAGCCCTTCCCCTCCCCCATTTCTGATGAAGGGTCTAGGCCTGAAACGTCAGCCTTCCTGCTCCTCTGATGCTGCTTGGCCTGCTGTGTTCATCCAGCTCTATACCTTGTTGTCTCGGATTCTCCAGCATCTGCAGTTCCTACTATCTCTGATTCAATTTTAACCCCACTGCGAAGCCGCTTCTAAGGATGCCTAGCCTGAAGAAGTTACCCTCCTCCCTCAGGACAAACCTCAGGGGATCTCTCTCCCACTGCACCACCTATCTTCTCTATCCATCTTCTATCCACCTCCCCCTCTCTCTTCCTATTTATTTCAGAACCTCCTTCCCCTCCCCCATTTCTGATGAAGGGTCTAGGCCCGAAACGTCAGCCTTTCTGCTCCTATGATGCTGCTTGGCCTGCTGTGTTCATCCAGCCCTGCACTTTGTTGTCTGTGATAATGATCGACTGTGAAAGGAGTCAATAGATAATAATACTATAATGAAAGTTCTTAGAGTCAAACAGCAGTTGTTAGTACAACAGATACTTTGGTCAGTTCCAAACCTAATTTTGTCGTCAAAACCATTGACAAAGGTGGTGCTGTTGTAGGCTGGGTGCACTGATCTTTACCTTGCAGAGGCTCAACGCCAGCTCTCAGACACTTGCTCCTACCTCTCCCTGGACCATGACCCCACATCTGAACATCAAGCCATTGTTGCCAGAACTGACACTGACCTCATTGTCTCCAGAATCTCCCACAACCGACCTCCAACTGCCTCCAACCTTATATAATCCCAACCCCAGACAGCCCGCTTCTACCTCCTTCCTAAAATCCCAAACCAGACTGTTTTGGTAGGCCCATTATATCAGCTTGTCCTGCCCCACCGAGCTCATTCCCTCCTACCTTGACTCCATCCTCTCTCCACTTGGCCAGATCCTGCCCACCTAAACTGTGATTCCTCTGATGCCCTCTGCCATATCAATAATTTCCAGTTCCTGGCTCTAACTGCCTCCTCTTCACCAATCCCTCTGTACCTCCATTCACCTCCACGATGGTCCGAGAGCTCTCAGCTTCTATCTTGACCAGAGGCCTGAACGTTCCCCGTCCACCACCACTCTCCTCTGCTTGGCTGAACTTGTTCTGTCACAGAACAATTTTGCCTTTAATTCATATCATTTCTGCCAAGTCAAAGGACTGCATACGGGCATTCGCATGGGTCCCAGTTATGCGTGCCTCTTTAGGGGGTATGTGGTACAGTCCTTGATCCAGTCCTATGCTGGCCCCCTCCCACAACTCATTTTCTACAACCTCAACGACTGCTCCAGTGCTGCTTCATGCTCTCACCTGGACCTAGGAAGATTTGTTCATTTTTGCCTCTAATTTCCACCCCTCTATAACTTTCACATGGTCCATCTCCAACAGTTTCCTCCCTTTCCCTGACCTCTCGTCCACTGCCATCCCCTACAAAGCCACTGACTCCCATAGCCACCTTCACTACAGCTCTTTACACACCACATTCTGTAAGGGTTCCATCCTGTTCTCCCAGTTCCTTCACCTCTGTCACATCTGTTTGGATGATGCCACCTTCCAAAATAGCGCTGCTGACATGACTTCCTTTATCCATAACCATTGTTTCCCACCCACTGTGGTTGACAGGGCCCTCAATGCATCCAACCTATCACCCTTGCCCCTCCCCATCACTCCTAACAGCATGATCTGGTCCCCCTTGTCCTCACTTTTCATCCCACCAGCCTCCACATTCAAAGGATCATACTCTGCCATTTCAGAGAACTCCAGTAGAACGCCGCCACCACCAAACAAATCTTTTGCACCCCACCCCACCCCACCCATTTCCCCTGTCTGCATTTCACAGGGATTGTTTCTTCTGGGACACCCTAATCCATTCCACGAGCACCGACCACCGCCACCTCTTCACGTGCAATCACAGAAGGTGCCACACCTGCTCTTTCATCACTTCCCTGCTCACCATCCAAGGGCTGAAATGGTCTTTCCAGGTGAAGCAACATTTTACCTGTACCACTTCCAATCTGGCCTATTGCATTTGCTGCACCCAATGTGGCCTACATTGGAGAAACCAAATGCTTTGCAGAACAGCTCTAATCTGTGCACAAGCATGGTCCCAACCTTCCCATAGCCGGTTATTTTAACACCGCATCCTGCTTGTGTGCCCCACTTATCTGTCCTCCACATGCTGCAGTGCTCCAGCGAATCACAGTGCAAACTGGAAGAAAAAACACCTTCTCTTCAGGCTAGGCACTTTATAACCTTCTGGTCTTAATATTGAGTTTGACACCTGCAAGTTGTGACCCTACTCCCGTTCCTTCCCTTTCTTTTTAGCTTTACTGGATGTATTGTTTGTCACCATGTCCTCCTATACCGCCACCCCCCTCACATCCGTGGGACTATCTGTTCTGTTCTTGTCTGGCAGCTCGATGCACCATTGTTCTGCTATTCTCACATTCCAATCACTTAATCTGCACTCTCACCACCCTTTATCCCCAGCAGTCTACACCCCCCACTATTACATACATGCTGTCCCCTCCACACTTCATATCAGCTCTGATGAAGAATCATCTAGATTCGAAACATTAGCTTGCTCTCTCTCCATGGATGCTGCCTGACCCACTGTGATCTCCAGTAATTTTTGTTTTCAGTACAGATTCCAGTATCTGCAGTAATACGCTCCTACCCTGTGTTGTAAGTACAAGCCTGGTTGGTTTTATTTTAACTCTGACACAGCAGTGCTTTTTTTCCCCAAAATTTAAAGGGCAGGATATTTAAATAGCTTGACAGGTACACTCAACCTGATCCACCTTTTTAGAAACATTCACCTCTATGTCTCACCATCATTAAACTATGCACCGTTGGGAATGGACCTAGCTTCAGAGAAAATGCGGTCTGTTTGAGCTTGGTGTTATCAACAGAAAAATTAATTGTAGAAACTGCTGTAATGTTTAAAAAAAGGAACACCATAGGTTCACTGGTCAAGAAGCCTTCTTGGTCCTTAACATCTGATGACAACCTGTTATAGAAGGTTGAGACTAGTAGGCAATTCAGTTTGATTACTTCAACAAAATAAATGTGGCCTTTCCAAATTCCCATATCCTGAGAATGCAGTTGTGTAGGTTTATACCACGTCTTAACAAGAAATATAACTGTGTGCTGTTCTTGGGGTCAGTCACTTTTTAAATTGGAATGGTTTACCATCAAAAAACTGGAAATTTCTGAAGAAGGGTCTAGGCCTGAATCGTCAGCCTTCCTGCTTCTCTGATGCTGCTTGGCCTGCTGTGTTCATCCAGCTCTACACCTTGTTATCTCATTCTCCAGCATCTGCAGTTCCTACTATCTCATGACAATCATTGTCTTCTGGGGTGTCAAAGGCTGATTCTGTTTAAGGGATCTCAGCAAATCAGTTTGAATGCAATTATGTAAATCCATTGGAAGCAGTTCAGAGAAGAGTTAATTAATTACCCCCTGGAATGGGTGTTTTGATGAGGAAAGGTTGGACAGGTTAATCTTGAACTGATAAAATTCATAGAATCCCTCCAGCTTGGATGCAGGCCATTCAGCCCATCAAGTCCACACCAACCCTCTGAAGAGCATCTCACCTAAACCCAGCCCACCTTCCCTCCCATCCCCACCCACCAATCCCTGCGACCCTGCATTTCCTATGGCTAATCCACCTAGCCCGCACATCTTTGGACTGTGGCAGGAAGCCCATGCAAACACTGGGAGAATGTGCAAACTCCACACAGACAGAGGCTATGTGGTCGACTCTTAACTGGCCTCTGGGCAATTAGGTTTGGGCAGTAAATGCTGCCTTGCCAGTGAAGCCATCATCCCATGAATGAATAAAAGAATAAAGGAGGCTTGTGGATGGAATTGAACCCAGGTCCCTGGCTCTGTGAGGCAGTAGTGATAACTACTGAGCCACCATTTTGAACACTCTCTTTCTAAAGCTCTTCCTCAAAAGATGTGGGAAGTAGGGTCTCTGAATATTTTTCAGGCAGACATGGGTAGATTATTAATAAGGGTTAGTTATTAAAGTAGGTTGGGAATGTGGAGTAATCAGATCAGCCACAATCTTACCAATTGGCAGAACAGGCTTGAGGGGCTGAGTGGCCTACTTTTGCTCTTACTTCATATTGTTGCATAAATTTCCCAGAAACCGCTTCGATGATCAGGTTTTTCCAATGTTACGGAGACCCTATTCTTTAAACGTTTAGACCTTGTCGATGAAATTTTAAAAAAAAACTATTTGTGCTCTAGAAGAATTTAGTGGCAGAATACCAACTATGAATGTAAAACTTCACTATTGATGTTTATGTGGGTGTTGAAACAAATTAATTTGATATTTTAAACTTAAGATGCAATCAATGAATTGTTCTATGGAGTTCAGAGACTGGAGATCCAGAAAAAGTCTAGTAGGTCAGAGCAGTTCTTACACAGATTTATAATTCAGCCCCAGGGTACATTAATCAAATCTTGACCCAGCACTCAAGATGGGAATAGATTGGGTCAAGGGTTTGGGGAGTTGAGATACAGGTGAAAGAGGATCTACCTTTGTGATTGATCAGACCTGAAGCCATTGATAGTCAGAAGATTGATATGACCCAAAAAATATCCACCTGAGATTGGAGTGATCTCATTGACCACTTCTGTTGAGATTTGATACTGCAGTTACGCTTTGAAAATAATCCTTGGTCAGCTACAGGAAAGTGTTGCCAAGCCCCACTGCTCTAGATTTATTTTGAGCTGCTGGCTGATCTTGACTGAGGCAGTAAGTAGAGACGACATCTGGGATACAGTTAGACAAGTGGAAGCCATCTACCTCCTGCTTACTGTCTGTCTTTATTCTTGCTTGGGATGTGGGCGTATCTGATGAGGCCAGTATTTATTGACCATCATTAATTGCACTTGAACGAAATATCTTGCTAGGGCCATTTCTGAGGACACTTAAGAGTTAACCACATTGCTGTGGCTCTGGAGTCACATTGAGGCCAGACCAAGTATGGCAGATTTCCTTCCATAAAGGACATTGGTAAACCAGATGGGTTTTTAAACAATTGATAGTTTTACGGTCACCGAGAGACTAGCTTTACTTTTCAGATTTATTAACTGAATTGAAGTGGTGGAATTCGAACCCATGTCCACAGTGCGTTAGCCTGAGCCCCTGGATTACTAGTCCAGTGACACTACCACATGCCACCATCACTTCCTAACATGTATGATAAGGAACCATTGGACGTCAGGTAGGCACAAGATGAGGTTGGCTTGTATAGCAAATGATGCACAGCTAGCCAGCACTCTTGCAAATTCATATTGTCAGTGCCAATGAGAGTATTGTGTTGGGAGTCGGGGAGATCGGTATCTGAGACCCACTGAACTGTAGTCTATTGAGAATAGTTGTGGGGCGGTGTGAGTGGGGGTGCTTCTGAAATCCTTAGAGCTGTTCCTTGCACAGAGCCATAGAATTACACTGTCATGGAGATTGGGTTCTGTCAGGAGAGGACAGGGACGAGTTTGCACACCACAATCCCACTGTAATATTGACTGACCTCTACTGCATCCAAATCTTAAAAGAGACAGCAAATGGGTGACTCCTGACCCTGCTCATGTGTTGTACTTTGCTTGTGGGACTGAGCCAAAACCAAGCAGGAACGCTAAGCTGCAATCAGTCGCAATCTAGAATCTCTGGGCTGTGTATTTATTTCACCTCCCCCTTCATGTCCATAAGCTTTTATCTTTGCTTCTTTGTCCTAAAAAGGCAACAATTCTTTCCTGTAGTTTGATCCCATGCTGCCATGAGAGCAGGCCAAGTGTTATTTATTTGTACTAAATTAACACAGTTTTTGGCTCTCTTTCAGAACCCCTGTCTCTGTCTTTTGAGGAGTTGAGGCCTCCTTGTTGGCAGAGAATGTCAAAACTTAGTCATTTGGCTAATTTGCTTGAAGTGAAAATGCTTTCCCGGCAAGCACGGGTCTCCAAGAAATGCAGTAGAATGTAGTTGAAGTGGCTAATTTCTATTTGTGAACCTAGCTAGTAGATTGAAGTGATGGGCACAGTTGGGATAGTGCCAACCTATCATCATTCATACTGCCCCCAGTAGTCAATGGAGTGATGAAGAGCTGGTAGCTTGACAAAAAGCTTGTTTTTATTGTCCCAATCACCAACTCGATTGAGATCCGCTAACTCAGGAAGAAACCTACTACTTTCTTTGTCTAACTCGGATACTGAAGCAGCTGGGTTCCCGAAGGGGCATGGTTACTGCTGTGTTTGTTTCCCTGACTGGTTCCGTTTACTCCTTGCAGTGAAAAGTCAGACAATTGTGCCTCGTTCCAAAAGCACAGGAGACGCTATCGACTCAGAGATGGCTGAGCGGAGATCAGCGACCCTGCCTCTACCCACTCGATCATCGTCATTGAAGCCCCTCTCTGAAAGGTAGTCTGACATTTCTCCTTCTTCCCTCATAACTTTCTGTGGTTTGGTGGGATAGCACTGTCTTGAGTTAGGAGGTTGAGAGTTCAAATTCAACTCTAACAGAACCTAGCCTGACACTCTGGTGTGGTACTGAAGGAACACTGCATTGTCTGAATTGCTATCTGTCAATTGAAGTCATTAACCTGATGTCTTCTCAGTCTCCGCAAGCCTGTGGTGCAACTCCATGAGAAGCTGGAGAGTTCCTCCAGATATCCTGGTCATTATTTATCCCTCAACCAACATCAGTAAGCCAGATTTATTGCCATTTGTAGGATCTTGCTGTGCTGAAATTGTTTTGGCTCGTTTTCCATGTTCCAATACTTCAAAATTACTTCATTGGGTGCCAACTACTTTGGAATGTCCTCCTAGATTTTGGAAGGGTCTATATAAATGCAAGACTTCTCTTTTTTTTTTTTGAAAAGACATCTTGAGGTTGAAAGTTCATACTGGATTATTGTAATCATACTTACTCTGCTTTTCTTCATACTTATCAAAGTTTTTGTGCACTGAATCGAATGTGGAATTTTAAAGTAAGTTTTAATAAATCAAACATAAACAAACTTTAATTTACATACAGCCTTTAACATAATCAAATATCCCAATGGAGTTGGGCCAAGTGGCCTGCTCTCATGGCTGTAAATTCTATGTAATGCTTAACACTGTCTCCATGCAGTATGTGAGTTTCTGTTGGTTTCCCTGTGAGGTAAACAGGCTTGTTGATCAGTGTTTACATGCACTTGCTACGGTCCACATAAATGTTCTTGCAAGTTGAAATAGTGTTGGTTTTCCCTCTGCAGTCAATCTACTCTGCAGCTACAGATCTCTCAAAAATCTGGCCACAGTTCTTGATGCAAAGAAATCTTTTCACACATATCCTGCGAGATTCCGAAAGGTGTGCACAAACTGTGCCGGAAATCGAAGGGCATGCTTATTTAAGGAGGAGGAATGCGTGTCAGTACGAAGGTTCAAGTCCAGGGAAGTTCTTCATTTTTGTAAATGCTGGAGAGTTAATGGTTGAATTTTCTTTTTTATTCCTCATTTTCTAGGAACGACTGGGGACCTCTAGATAAAAAAGTTGACACAAGGCGGTATCGTGCTGAACCAAGGAGCATTTTTGACTATGAACCTGGAAAGTCTTCTGTGCTCGCTCATGAGAAAACGGTACTGTACCAAGCATGGCTAAATCTGTCCTCTAAATTTCTTCTTTTAATATCTAACACCTATCTCTCTCTGACTAACCAGGTTCCTATATTTAAACTCTTTTAATCATGTGCATGCCTACAGGGCAGAAAAAAAAACCAGGGCTGATTTGTCAATTTTAATGATTGCATGGCGGGAGGGCTGGGGGGAGGCAGGAAACACACATTTTAGCCAATCATAACCTTAAAAGACCCAAAAGCAAAATACAGCAGATGCTGGAAATCTGAGGGAAAGGCAAAAAATACCCCTGAAAATATTCAGTGAATCAGGCTATATCTGCAGAGAGATGTTTCAGAAAAAAATGAGCTTTCAAAATAAATTTTCATTGGCTTAAAATGCCACCAATGAATGGCTGCTAGCAATCATGAAACAGCCAATCAAATGCCTGAAAATGTGTCTATTAGTGGCCTTTTTTATGTTTACTCCACTTGTTACAATTCCTCCTTTTCTAAATTGTTCAAAGAAGCACCAGCATCTGAAAAGAATTCCCATACAATCCCCATCACAGTTGGCAAAACTACCAGTCATACCCACCATCTACCCAGAAAGTAAACTGAAAGCAGTATCAAATAAAATGAGATCTGTGTTTGGCACTGAGGTCAAGTAGTGTGGAATCGGTGGGGCTTTTCCAGCTGACAGGATGTCATGTGTTGTGCCACAGGAGTCAGCACTGGGACCTCAACAAATTAGGTAAAATGATTTGGATGAAGGGACCGAAGGCATGGTAGGAAAGTAAGTTGTGAAGAGGACATGAGGAATCTGAACAAAGAATAAAGGTTAAGTGAATGAACAAAAAAATCTGGCAAATGGAGTGTAATGTAGGAAAAGTGTGAAATTGTCCTTTTTTTTTTGGCATATTTCTAAATAGTGGGAGTCTGCAGAGCTTTGGGAAGCAGAGAGATCTGGGTGTCTGAGTGCATGAAAAACAGAAGATTAGCATTACTAACAGGAGGTTAGTAATCGGGGACAACTAAAGCCTATTGTGGTTTGTTGTGAGAAGAATTGAGTGCAAGAGTTATGCCTCAGTTAAGCAGGGTATTGATAAGACTGCATCTGGAGTACTGTGTACAGTATTGTTCACCATACTAACAGAAGTATTTTAATGTGTTAGAAACAATTCAGAGAAGGTTTGCTGGACAAATACCTAGAATGAGTGGATTGCTTTATGTTGAAAGGCTAGACCAGTATCCTCTGGAGTGTTGAGGAGTCAGAGGTGACTTAAATTGAAACAGAAGATCCTGAAGAGACTTGACCTGGTGGTTGTGGAAAGGATGTTTCCTCTTATGGGAAAATCCAATAGGTTCTAGTGAAACACAGTGGGAGAAACGGTAAAATGCTTGAGCAAATTGACATTGGGAAGGATAAGATATTGGAGGGTTGGGAGGATTAAAAATGGATAGATCTCCGGGTCCGGATGAATTGTATCCCAGGCTGCTGTGGGAGGCAAGGGAGGAGATTGTAGGGCACTGATCCATATTTTTAATTCCTCTCAGGCTGTGGGGGAGGTGTCAGAGCACTGGAGAACAGCTCATGTAGTCCCACTATGTAAGGGTTGTAGAGATGAGCCAGGGAACTATAGACTAGTGAGTCTCATGTCAGTGGTAGGGAAACTATTGGAGAAAATTATAAGGAGAGCATCTATCCCCATTTGGAGAGGCAAGGATTAATCAGGGATAGTCAACATGGCTTTGTAAGAGGGAGGTCATGCCTAAAAAATTTGGGAGTTTTTGAGGAGGTCACCAGGTGCATAGATGAGGGTAGTGCAGTTGATGTAGTTTATGTAGAGTTCAGCAAAGCCTTTGAGAAGGTCCCACGTAGGAGACTTATCAAGAAGGCAAATGTGCATTGGATACAGGGTAACTTGATAAAGTGAATTCAAAATTGACTCCTTTTGTAGGAGACAGGGGATGATGACAGAAGGCTGCTTTAGTGACTAGAAGTCAGTCTCCACTGGCATACGACAGGGATCTGTGCTGGGTCCCCTATTTATTTGTTACTTCTATAAATGACACAGATGACCGAGTGGGGAATTGGATTAGTAAGTATTGTCTCATCCACAAAAAATGGGTCAGCTGGTTAACAGTGAGGTTGAATGTCTTGAGCTACAAGATGTAAACATGTTGGTCAAATGGACAGATAAGTTGCAGATGGAGTTTAACCCTGAAGAGTGTGAGGTGATGCACTTTTGGAAGAAGTAATTTGACAAGGAAATATTCAATGAATGGCATGAGACTAGGAAGTTCCATGGAATGAAGAGAACTTGGAGTGATTGTCCATAGACCTCTGAAGGCAGAAGGGCATGTTAGTAAGGGGCTGAAAAAGGAATATGGGGCACTTGCCTTTATCAATCGCGACATAGATTACAAAAGCAGGGAAGTCATTTTGAAGTTGTATAGGATTTGTTGAGACCACACGAGTACTGTATGCAGTTCTGGTCACCCCATTACAGGAAGGATATGATTGTGCTGGAGGGGGAGCAGAGAGATTTACCAGGATGCTGCCTGGGATGGAAAATTTAAGTTGAGGAAAGGTTGGATAGGCTTGGATTGTTTTCATTAGAGCAGAGAAGACTTGGGGGTGATCTGATTGAGGTGTACAAGATTGAATGGCGTGGACAAGGAGCAGCTATTCCCCTTAGTTGAAGGGTCAGTCATGAGGGGAGATGGGTTCAAGGTGAAGGGTAGGAGGTTCAGGGGGAATGTGAGGAAAACCCTTTTCACCCAGAGGTTGGTTATGGTCTGGAATGTGAGTTGCCCCATTTCCTTTGAAACGTACCTGGATGAGCACTTGGCTCATCATAACATTGAAGGCTATGGGCCAAGTGCTGGTAAATGGGATGAAGTTGCAGGTCAGGTGTTTCTCATTGGCAGTGCAGACTGGATGGGCAAAAGGCCTCCTCTGCACAATGATTCGATGATTCTATTTGCAGCTTAAAAGTAAAGGGACACCCATTTATAACAGATAATGGGGAAAAAAATTGAGGATGGAGAGTCTTGGGTATTCCCTTCCTCAACGAGGTAGATAGGTGCTTGATTAGCAATGGGATGAAAGATTATTGGGGGAATGCAGGAATGTAGAATTGAAGTAAATATCATGTCAGCTATGATCTCACCGAATGGTGGAGCAGGCTCGAAATGGCGAACATCTTGTTCCTTCTTTGTTGTGGTAGAGTCCTTTTTATTGTATCTAGAAGGGGATTGCAGGATGGTTTCTATCAGACAGAGCTCCCACTGCAGAATATCCAGAATAGCTGGACTCAAGCCTCCTGATGCCCAAAACTAAACATTAATGGCATGAAATGTGGGAGCATCTCGCATCAATCTGCTCCTCTATCAAATAAAACGCCTTATGGTGAGTGAAAACTTCCAAACCCAACTTCTGTATTGGTTGCTGCTTCTGAAAATTGATTTTTATTTTCATTCTCTTGAAAACTGAGGTGATCATACCTGAAACAGATTTTATTTTTTAAACTCAAGTCTGTGTTGACAGCCAAATGAAAATTCCATGTTATCCAGTCACAGAAAATAGCTCAACCATAATGTTTTCAGATGTAACCAGCAACTACATTTAATTGTAATTTGCAACTTAATTTGATAGTTATATTATTCATTACATAAGACCAGCCCTTATTTTAAATATATTTCAAAACTCTTTGTGAAATCCAAGTTGTCTGCATTTGGCTGATTTATTAATTCGGGATTCATAAATTAATTTTGGAATTAATTTGGATATTTAACACTGGCTTGTGAACAAGCAGTGTCAAGAAAGATTAGTCCGTGTTTGTAAAGAGATGAACTTGCAACAGAGAGAGACCTGGGAGCTGGTACTTTTGAAATGACATGCCCAGTACTTCGAGACTTAAACATTCAGACAGGAGACAGTCTGCCTCTTGCATCATCTTTTCCTGCTTGTTTAACTGCCATTGGATTGGAAGTGAACTCTAAGGATGTTCGTCATTACTTTTTATTGCTATTCTGGTCACAATGGCTGAATGCTCAGTGCCTGTTTTGCATGCAGCACGTGGAGAGGGCAGAAGAATTTTTTTGTTCTGTTTGTTTTTTTTTCCACAATGGATGGAAATGCAACGCAAAGTCATGGAGTGCATGAGGGTGTGAACGTCTGTACATCATGATGGCCAATTTCACCCTCCGAGATAAGCAATAGACACTGAGCCCCACTAAGGTGTAGTGCCTCACGCGCTGACCACCCCCCTCCACCCAAACTGGGGTGCAGTACCTTACCCACGCTAATCCCCATTCCCTCCCCCCAACTGGGTTGCAGTGCCTCATACATGCTGCCACCCCCCACCCCACTAACTGTGGTGCAGTCTCACACACGTGCTGAACCCTTCCCTCATCCCACAGGGTTGCAGTGACTCGTGCACTGACCC